TGTGTCCAGGCTGATGCTCCTCTGTGCTTGTCCCTTTGCAGAGGGCCACCACGTGCAGCCGGACACAGCCGAGCTACACCGTGCACCGCCACCTCCTGCAGCAGCTGGTGTCCTACGAGATCCTCCAGCACCAGGTACCAGCAGTGCTGCAGCAGCCCCACAGCAGCCCCACAGCAGCCCTACAGCAGCAGGGATGGGGACAGTTTCTTCTGCAGCCCCAGACATCGTGCAGTGTGATGGGAACGAGGGTCAGGATGATTCCTGGCATCCATCCAGGGCTCCCACTCCTGCAGAAGCCCCCCACAGCAGTGCCTGTCCCCTCCTCACGCCCCTGTCCTGCTCCAGGRCACATTTCCCCCATTTCCCCCTGTCAGGCCGGCAGCACCTCCTGGGACGGGGAGCTGAGCCGCCAYGCCAGCACCGTGCTGTACCTGCATGCCACGCAGAAGGACCTCTCGGACTTCCACCAGGACATGGCGTGAGTACCSCACACCCAGGGAGCCCCAGAGCAGYATTTGGGGGGTCAGTGGCCCCAAAGCCTCCCCTGGGACCGGCTGAGCGCAGCTGGGCTGTCCCAGAGCTCAGGGTTTGGCCATGGCTGTGACAGTGGCCGGTCCCCGAGTGTCCCCAGCCCCTGGGGGCTCAGCCCAGCCCTCCCTCCTCCCCAGGCAGTGGTTGGCCTACAGCAAACTCTACCAGAGCCTGGAGTTCAACAGCAGCTGCCTCCTGCACCAGATCACCAGCATCGAGTACCGCTGGGTGCAGGATCGCCTGAGGCCGGAGCAGGTGAGGGGCTGGGGCAGGGCGGGTGGGGCAGAGATCTGGGAAAGGGGCTCCATGTGAGGCAGAGATCTGGGAAAGTGCCCTGTGTGGAGCAGAGATCTGGGAAAGGTCCCCTGTGTCGGGCAGGGCTCTGGGAAAGGTGCTCCAATGGGGCAGGGATCTGGGAAGGAGGCTCCATTGTGGGGCAGAGATCTGGGAAAGACTCCAGTGTGGGGCAGGGATTAGGGAAAGGTCCCCTGTGTAGGGCAGGGATCTGGGAAATGTGCTCCAATGGGGCAGGGATCAGGAAAAGGGGCTCCAATGGGGCAGAGATCTGGGAAAGGCTCCAGTGTGGGACAGAGATCAGGGAAAGGGGATCCAATGGGGCAGGGATCAGGGAAAGGCTCCAATGGGGCAGAAATCAGGGAAAGGTGCCCCATGCACCCCACTCCAGTCTCTCCTCCCACCCCCCAGGGCTGTTTCAGTCCCGCTGTTCCAGGAGGGGCAGGAGGGTTTGGGGTTCAGGGGTGCCAGGCTGGCTGGAGGGCGTTTCCCAGGGGTTTGTTCCCCTTTACCCTCCACGCTGCCATCCCCCTCCTCCATCCCTGCTGCCAGGTCAATCACAACCCCCCACAAAACCTAAATCTGACCCAATTTCTGCTTCTCCCAGCCTGTTTTCCCAGAGCATCCCTGCACCCTGCTGAGACACTGAGTTTTTCATGCATAGCAATGAGGTTTAGGCACAAAGCTCAGCTCAGGCCCTCCAGGGAGAAGCTTTGGGGTTGGTTTTTTTTTCCCATCCCTGGAGCAGGCTGGGAAGGAAGGGGAGCCCCATCTCCATGCTGCCTGTCGCTGAGGAGGACAGTGCATGTTTCCTTTCTTCTCCCCAGAAAGCAGAGCTGGCCGARTCCTTCCAGTCCTTGCTGACCTACGGCGTCTCCCTCATCCGTAGGTTCCGCATCATCTTCCCCCTCTCTGTGCCGAGGTCCCAGGAGAGGCTGCAGTCCCTGCTCCGGTGAGTTGGGCACTGCTGCTGGCCACTGTGATGGACAAACCCCTGAGCCAAACTCAGAGTGAGCCATTTGTCCCCMTCCCAGGCTGCTGTGACCTTGTCCTGTGCCATCCCTCCTCAAGGCTCCCCTTGGGGA